GAGAGATGTGGATGTGAGAGAGAAATATCCATCGATTTCCTTCCCTATGTGCCCCAACAGGCAATAGAGCCTGCGATTTTTCAGTGCACGGGAGGCTGCTCAACCAACTGGGCCACTCGGGCAGGGAGCACACTTTCTAATTGATCTTGTTTGCATTCTATGAATTGGCATTGCATATGTATACAACTTGTTGTTTTAGGTGAATACTGTGTCTTCTTTCACTATCTGAACCTAAAAAGCTCTCACTTCTCTATGCATTCTGAAATCCTGCCTGAAATTGGAGATAGATGTCTCTTTAGGTTCTTTTGTACATGTTACATCGTGTATCAGATCATAGATAATACAGTGACTTACCTCACATACCATATTTTCTCAACTTAAATCTATGACTATAGGGTTTTTTTTAAATCAGGAAATTTCATATAAAATTTTTCTGGAAAGTAGACTCATAAGAGACCTACCAGAATCATGTTTCAAATGCTCCCGACACCTATTCTATACTAAAAGATATGTATTTTAAAATTTGTTCATAGGCTGTCAAAAGTATCATATCCTTGTTTACAATATAAAGATGTGAATAAGTTACATGGGCTCCCTAAAGTATTGTTTTTTATTAAACTACTGATACCTAAAATTCTTTTACTTCAAGTGCAAAAAAAAAAAAAAAGGCTGGAGGCAATTATCTCCTTTCAGACATGGTTCCTGAATTGTTTTAAATGCCTCTAAAAGTCTGGCTTTGTAACAGTTTAATATCAACTATATTGATTTTAGATAACCCAGTAAGTATTATAATACAAAATAATTTTATGTATAAGAAACAAAATATAAAGTAAATTCAGGTGTTGTGACTTGTATGATGCTGGGGGGAGGGAGGGAGGAGGAAAAAAATGCTTTTTTTCTGTACTTTCACTAGGTGAAGGGAGGGGGGAGCATGTTGTGGGCTACAGGAAGGAAAGCTAATAAATAGGCTGGAAGTAATATTCTACCAGCAGGAACTCGACAGCTCCAGTTAAATGCTTTGATATAGTGGCTCATTTGCAGAGCAAAAACAAGATTTATTACATTTCCTTCCAAGTGTTTATCTTAAAAACAATTACAAGGTTTTAATTATACTGCTGAATCAAATAAGTACCAAAGATCAAGCGTTGCAGTTTTTCTTTCCTCTCAATAAATATTAATGTAATGCTGGAGGGTAAAAATGTAAATAGTTTTTGGACAATATTTGCAACCTTGTTTGTGTTATGAAAAAAATTTTTTTTTCCAAAAAGAGCTAGAGAGAAAGATGTTTGGCATTGCAAATTAATTTGCATGATTGTTAAAAAACGAACACGTGGTTTGAAGATAAACCAGATCTGAACACGTATTTCTTGATTTTTGCCAAATAAAATTAGGTTTAATTTTATAAATAAAAAAATGAAAATGAAAAAGGCAAATCATGTCTTATTATCATAATGGAAATAGTTTTGACCTTGGAGAGTCCTTGAGAAGATCTTGGAGACGTCCCAGATCTGGCAGACTACACTTTGTGAACCAATGCCACCGAATAATTTTTTAAAAATATCTCTTTATTGATTTCAGAGAGAGGAAGGGAGCAGGAGAGAGCGATAGAAACATCAGTGAGGAGAGTCATTGATCGGCTGCCTCCTGCAGGCCCTCTACTGGGGATGAGCCTACAACCCAGGCATGTGCCCCGACCGGAATCAAACCTTGATCTCCTGGGTCCCAGGTGATGCTCCACCGCTGAGCCACGCCCAGCCGGCCTCCACCGCATAATTTTAAACGTCACTTCCCATTTCACGTTATTAATAAAGTGAATTTTCTCTGATGCATATTTTGTCTTCTTTCCCAATCACCCTTTAAGGGCTGCTGACTCAAGGTAACCACAAGACGCCCTGTCTAGTGGAACCCAAAGCGAAAAGCCGCGGACGCTCCGAGGGCGCTCGGCTGAGCGCGGCCTGAAAACGCCCCCCTGAAACCGCAGAAAAAGCCGAGTTTCGCGGAGATCAAACCAGCCACCCGCGCGCCAAGGCGGGGCCAGAACTGGAGGCCGGAGGCCGGGCTCGCCCAGGGCTCAGGGCAGAAAGTTCGCGACGCTGCGAGCCGAGCACAGCTGCCC